GAGTTTCTTATGTAACCTTTGCCTCATTTTCTCACTGCCCACTCACTGTGTGTTTATGAACCAAGAGAAAATGAAAAGTTCCTCCAACAGTGAAGCCACTGGTTTGGCCACGTATCAACCCCCCTTGCCACTATTGCATCCCAGCAGAAATAGCACCACCCAAGCTATACGGGAGCTATTTGTAGCTACAGAGGAGGATACTGCATTTGACCCCCACTAAAGAAGAACACGTATTTTGGCTTGTTTTTTTTTTCTATAACAGTGTCATTTATCACTATGACACATATTCATCGACTTAGTCTGCATTTTTTCAGTGTCAGATTTATACTTCTTTGCTGTTTTGAATATTGATGCAGCACTTCCCCTATGTGACTATACTGTGTCTGCCAAATGGTGTCTAGACGCTAGAGCAGCTTTGACTAATTAGTGTAGTCACCCCAGTCACTCAGCTTTGGCATTTACCTACTCTTTATGTTACTGCTGTTGAGCCATAAATAGGCACCTAAACACAAGCAGCGATGTAAAGCGAGGTGGTAGCGAGCATGTCCAGCCTTCACCCAGCATCAGTGAGGTGAGCGCAGAGGACAGCAGCCGTCACTCCCTGCATTCACTAACAGGGCAAGTCGTCGTAACCACTCACTTGGACATCACAGCCTACGTGTGTGCAGGCAGCGGGAGAGCCGCATTCAATGTCTGTCTTGGTCTGAAGATCACCAACGCAAAGGCCAGGCTGAGAGAGATTTCTCTCTCTCTCGGCTCAGCCCCTGTGTACCAGCAATTCAAGACACATCCAGCCAGAGAGAAAAAAAAAGTAAGAGAAATCAACACCTGCCCGCCCAGCAGTGGGATCTGGGGAGGACTCGTGTCTGGTTCGTAGAGCTGCTTTCCAGTAGGCCATGATTTACGCCAGATCCAAACTAAAAATGCAGTTCTAGAAATTTTCTGCAACTTCATTATTTATATCATGCTTTTAAATATTGCACCAGTACTGAAGCTGAGTTGATCAACTTTAAAGAGGGAGAACTGATAAATATGAAAGATAATTTTAGAACATCAAAGAACTTTTATAAAACCTTGAGAATAAAAAATAGTGAAAACCTAATCAATGTTGCCTACGCAACAGGCTGTGCTAATATAAAATTAAATTGCCTCAAAAATTATATGCAGATTAAAGACAATACTGCTATAAACAAAGCTTATTTGTAAGCAAAATTTGAAAGTTTTTATTTATCCTGCTGAGTATTTGAAGAACCACTATCATAAGGCAAACAAATTAACTTTGTTTTCTTTGTTTTTAACTGTTACAAATGATTTTACTGGTGCTAATACAAAGCATTAGAGAATAGCAGGTTTGGGATTTTTTTCTCTTCTCAGAAAGACTGTTGTTTGAGCAGGTTTTCTCTGAATTTGCCAATAGGATTATTTTTATTTTTTCAGTTAGGGGTATATAAAATATTTAAAGTAAGCTTTCCAGAAGACCTGCAGTTTATGTTGAGATTTTCCAGGGCTAAGACAGGACTCATTTAACTCGTGGGGTTTTTGCCCTACGAAGAGAGGAATTTTTTTTCTTCCAAGGAAGATTTCTGTGTGGTTCTCTTCAGTTCCTTTTTTTTGTGCAAGGGAAGGGAGACAATCATTAATGCTGCTGTGCACAAAGAGGATTTGTGATTCTTCAACAGAAAAACAAATTAATAGTTTCTTTTACATGTGGTCCTGCTACATGTTATGTACAATATAAAACTGCCTGTTTCTCTCTATCCAGCCATCTAGCAAATAGATACATATATGTACATTGCACATGTAAAATCGTGCACACTTTAAGGCACACATGTTGCAAGCTCTGTTTGTCCTCTAGGTTACGAAACTGCTCAGTCATGGGTTAGACACTTACCCACAGGTTACTACCCCACAAGTTCCCTCCTGCTATAACACAGTATGCATATTTTTCTAGGACTGCTATCATCTGCTTGCTCTTTTTCAGCATACCGAAAAGGATTGTCTCTTTTACCCAAACAGTTCTTAGTATCATGTGCAATACTTAAGGGTAAATGATAATATAGTTTCTAATTAGGCTAATTTGTCTCTCTCTAGATAAATAGCAGTGCCACTGTTTTGATATTGCCAATGAGCATGGTTTCATCAGTGCCACTCTACTGGAAATGTTTGGGGCTAGATCTTCAGAGCGTTAATCAGCAGATTTTCACTGATAATTTTGGAGTTATTTTATGGCAGATGGAGGTCTGTCTCTGTTTTTATTTGCTGGCCTTAATTTTATCTCCAGTAGAAATGAATCCACATAAATATCAGGTGTAGTTAACAGCTCAGGAGAGAGTGAGAACTTTGATAATATGAAGTCTGCATGACTCACAAGGGAGGACATGTATGATGATACCCAGCAACGCTTGGACCAGAGCTATCTGAACTATATTTGGCTTATGAAAACTTAAATGTGCAACATTGTCAGATCATTACCTTTTATGACCACAAACATTCTTCAGAAATTAACATAGAAATCAGGCTGTATGCAAGAGGGATCAGCAGAGCAATTTTTAGCCTCCTTTAGGGTTTACAACAAATAAATTCTTTAAGCAGACTGGGTAGTAAATGACTGGTATTATTCCATAGTTATCAGTCCTTAAAAACATTTAGAGAAGAGGAATGTATTAAATGGTCTCTGAACCAATGCACCTAATAATCTACGGGAGAACTGGACGTTTAAGAATGATTAAATGATTGCCAGAAATGTTTTCAGGATTTTCAAGATGCTGATCGTCTAGTTGCAGCTCCAAAAAGATTTATTTGTGGTCTCGTAAATAATGAAATTTAAATCTGAGGAGCTACTTTGTTCTGGAAATGCAAAAATACTGCACATAGAGCAGGCTTGCTCCTTCAACCATGGCAAAGGTTTTTCATACTAGGTAGATGTAATAGGCTCTTTTCTGTCCTAAACCAGACTTCATCCAGGTATTATATAAGTAGAATTTGTAAAAACCTTAGAAACTGTCAACTGCCTTTTTTCCCAATTGCTCAGAAGGCTGGATCCGAGCCACTATCTTAATTATAGACTGAGAGAGGAATCACTGCAGTGACATAGGGTTTCCTTGCCCAGATGTTCTTCATGGCGCTGCTATTTATCTCTTCCCATACCTTGGAATCCATTTATTCTCAGCCTGTCCCCTGGTAGGTACAGTATATATTCACCAGCAAAGTAGAGATTTTTATGGAAATTTAGAAATTTATGTATACATATAGGGTATCTTGAAGGATCAGTAGAGAGCTTGACTTTTTAAAGCTGTTAAAGGCAACTGGGTACAGATGTCCATCTCAAGGTTAAACGGTTAAATAAGGGAAGGGAGGGAGCGAAAAGCTTACAGTTGACTGTGGTTTAAAGGCAACCATGGATTTGCTGGCATCAGTACAGTTAACAACGGATGGAACTAAAAAGAGGTCATGAGATAGCTCAGATAAATTCAGGTACAGTTTGCATACAGTCTATTTATAGGATGCTTTCTCAAACTAAGCCTGTGAACCTTTTGAAGTTTGCCTGTCACTCTTTCAGGCCAATTAATGATGTACATCCATTCCCATTCTGAGATAGGTAAAACAGTAAAGCAAACAAAGATAATTAGTCTCTGGAGCATGTAAACAAATAAAGTAAATCACTTGCAAATCACTAGTTTCTGCTAACTTTTGTGGTTTTGTTGCAAAACTAAAAAAGAGCATTTATATTGCCAATCTACATAATGCTAGAGCAGCGCTGAAAATGCGTAGATAGTACTGTTCTGATTTTGAGAGGGCTTTGCAAAGATTAAGCACCTGATCCTGAAACATCACTGTGAGTTGTTATACGCAAAAGAACATTTTCATCCCTTTTTCGCAGAAGAGAAGGTCGAAGTACGGAGGTTAAATAATTTTGTTCATGGAGGTAAAGGTCTAAGTGACACTTTATAAATAAACAAGAGTCACTGCTCCAAGTTTACAAATCTAAGTGAAAGCACTAGTGGAGCTGAGGAGAGCAGGCCAAGACGGGCAGGAGAGCGGCTGTAGGATGTGGGACCGTGACCCACCTCAGTGATGCCTCTCAAATTTTACAGACCTGAATGGAAGCATTATGTGGCCTTTAAAGTGCAAATAACCAGAAGAGTTCCTGACTGCTAGTCGGTTTTTTTGTTTTCCAACATAGTAGTAATCTATTAATTGCAATACCACTTCAGTCCTAGTCTTTAAGCACTTTCTCTAAGTAAGCAGTGCTCTCCCGCTCTTGGACATGGGGTAATTGAGGTAAGTGAAGACAATATTGCCATTCAGCAGCAGAACTCGATGCAGAGCACACACTCCCTTCTTCTCAGCCCTGGGCTGAATACCGCAGACTTTGGAGAAATGCACATTTTACAAGAACAAATAGATTCTCAGTACCATGGCTCCAGGGGCTGTGGGGACCATGCCATCTGGATCTGCCTGCTACCCCAGTTCAGCCAACTGGTTCTGTAGGCCTGTCCCAGGCAGGGGTAAGCCCATTCCCTGGAAACTCAGGGCAGTACCAAAGCAGGTCCTGCCTCCAGTCATGTAGTGAGAGGACTCTGTGAGCACAACATACAGTTTTGTGTAATCAGTAAAACAGCAGAAACTGTGTTCGGAATCTGTAGAATAACAGATTCCAATTAGAGTTCAGATCCAGGCAAAATGACTGCTCATATGATAAAATCGCTCTTTGTCTTTTTTTTGGCATGAAAACGCAGAGCATTTCTTTTAGTAAAGGGCAGACATTTCCCTGTTGTTCTGTCCCTTTTTACTGTTTTCTTACACCTTTTTGTTCTGACTTCAAAAAAGGATTCTGGAAAGAGATGCGTCTTAGAAAGAGACTCTCATCAGCTGAAATGTGTCCAATATATATTTAAGTCAAAGAATATTAAGCCTTGTCCAAAAATAAAAAGAGTGTAAAAGGTAAGAATGCCTGCAGGCTCGATTTTTAAAGATATTCATTTTTCTTCACGTTGCAGATCTCGTCTTGCAGATTTCTTCACAAACTGCCAGCCTGAGTCACGGTCTGTTAGTAGCTGTCTGAAGGAGAACTATGCTGACTGCCTCCTCGCTTACTCGGGGCTTATTGGTAAGAAGGCAGGGAAGGGTGGGGGCTTGCTCGGTCTAAGAAAAACACCCAAACTGTATTTTGAAGGCCCACATGAAATAAAAACTGTGGAATATAATACTGTACAATACGATACTAGGCAAAATTCTCCACCTAAGTGCATTGGCCCTGTTTTACCTTGCAGTGATTCCTGGGGTAAATTTGTACATTGCAAGGAAATTAAGGAGAGAAGATAAGGAGAGAAAGGTACTTGAATTTGAAATAAATTCAAGCTTACAAAGTAAAGCTTATTAAGATGGTTGAATTTGGACAGGACCGTGAAGTAGGAAGTTAAAAAGAACAAGTGAAACTGCAGCTTGGTTGATTTTGCAGCTGTCGTCACAAGATTGGGTAAATACCTCTTGGTCTTCAGGGAAAGTTTGCAAGACATTTGAGGAATGAGACAATAGACCAACCCAGCCTTGTTTCACTTCCAGCTGCTATTCTTTCCATGATGTCCTTCTGTCCATTCTAAATGTTTTCTGAGATGCCTGTCAATGGAGGTGAACTGCAACCAAATTTATCTTCTGAAATCCTCTTCCCTCCCCAACATAATTCATTTTGTTTGCTGTCACCTTCCTGACTGTCAGCAGGCACAGGGATGCCTTTATGCAAGCCAGATTCCATATACCACACGCAGTATTTGATTCCTGAAAGAGAATCTTGGGAAGGTGAACTTCTTGTAGAAATACCATGCTTGGGCAATAAAGAATATGTGAATGTCGAAACTCGAAACAAACAAATTTTAAAGGCCACCAGATAAGATGTTTTTAAGCTTACAGCCTGCACCTGCTGCAATGCAGTAATATCCCCTTCTGTTGGGCGTGAAGGTCCCAGCTGAGGCCCTGAAGCAGATCCTGCTGTTAAATAAATGTCTCTGGAGATAATATCCAAAAGAAAATATTTCTAAAATAGGTTGGTTTTGCTGAAAAATGACTGAAAGCTATATTCACTGGCTTATTGTTATCATTCTTACTCTTCTAGCAGCTAACAAGTGAGGTAAGTCCGTGTGGCAACTGGTAAAATAAGATGTGATGGTTTCAAAGGATATGCTTCTGTGACTTAAGAGATGAAGACAGTATGCAAGGGGTATTACATATGAACAGTTATGACAGAATGTCTTTTGACTCTAAAACAAAGAATTGAATAGCCTTGAAATCTGATCTAGTCAAGGAGATCAAGAAGTCTAGCTGCTGGCAAAGTGTAACTGTTACTAATAGATACTTCTGGGTAAGAGCTGCCAAGAAGTTCTTGCTGGACCTAGTGAATTTTGCTGGCAGTTTTGTTGGATCCATTTTTCAATTTAACCCCAAGGATGACCCATTCCGATAGTCTCGTGTTTTTGTGATACTGTGGATGACCACGCAGCAAAACACTATCACACATCAGAAATGTGGAATGGATCCCTAAGGAGTTAAAATCAAAAGGAGATCTAATTTTCAAAGGGAAAACCCCCCATTTTTCTTCCTTCCTGCTAGCCCCTAGACACATGCAAAAAGATGGCTCCTGACTAGTGTTACAAGAGTTTTTACTTCTTGGTAGTAATTCTGATAAACCAAGAAAATTACCAAAACAAAAATTCTATGTGCTGAAGCAGTAAATTCCTGTTTCTGATATCAAGCTGATATAAAAGTGGAGTAAATTATGTGAAGATCATCACATTTGTAAGATGCTTGACATAGAAATCAGAGATACAATCTTTCAAATGTCTGCTTAATATATATAAAACACAGGAAGAAGCGATAGACTGTGAGTAAGAAGCTGTTACAGATCCATTCATTCATCAGAGCTTCAGGTTCTCCAGGTGTTTTAATTAAGATAAAATATTGTTCATTTAGATAAAATATTATTTCATTTAGCCATTTCATTAAATGTAGCAAAAATTGTGCCTCCATAGAGTTTGTTCGGGAAATTGAGGATTCTGTATGGAAGGTACAGTAGATGTGATTCTGCTGTTGCATACAGTGATGTAAATCAGTGTTAACATCACTGAAAGAGTTTAATCCCACCTGAAATAAATTACTTAAGTGGGAATAGAGTCAGGCAGTTTTTGTATCAGGTACTTTATCAGTTAAATGGAGAACACTCTATATAGGATTTTTTAAGAAGGTTTGCATCAGGATGTTATATATATTATTTTAAAGTTATGCATATTTTACAGGAATTTTGAAAATCTTAATTAGGCTCCTTGTTATAGTAATAGGGATAAATAAATATTAAAAAAAAAAAGGAAAAATATAAAAATTATTAAATGTAGAATAAGATTGGAGATAGCGATGTTTGAGCTTCAGTGCTTTGGTTACAGCCTAGTTAAGCCATCTTGGACCTGTCTGCACTTCCACAACAGTTAGGTATTGCTCTAACTGCTGACTTCAAGATCTGCTTCAGCATTCACTTTCTGACACATTTCCACTTTTTTTCCACAAAATCCAATTTTCCTGGGATTCCCAGGAATTCCATGAGAGTTTATGTGAATAAACTGGAGTTGTATTGGGCCAAAGGAACTTCAGTCACATACCCCTCCTCCTGGACTCACCATCCATCTCCTCATTCTTAATTGATCCTCATTTGAGCAACCTCTTGGCTGTGTTCAGGTCAACTCTGCTTTTGTCTAAAATATGGAGACCTGACTGCCTGCTACTGAGACCATCACAGAACTATTTGATAGAGAGAACACAGAAAACCAAGCATGTCCTATTTTACTGCCAACTTCTCTGATTCGTTCGTGTCCTTCAGCAGAATTTTCAAGATGCCAGCTAGCGGGGGGGAGGAGGGGAAGGCACACACATTGCAGGGAAAAAAGAAAATCCACCCCAGGAAACCAAGCATATAATCCGCTTGGGTTCACATCTGCCCCCAGGTTTAAATGACAGGCTGATTTTCTACTAGCTGCTCTTTCAGCCACTCTGTTTTTGCTGGATGTACAGTTTGTGTGCTGTGTATACACATTCCTTGTCCTGTCTTTCCTGCATTCATCAACCCTAATCGTAGCTTGGTATCTCTTACACTTTTAGCCACTGTCTTGACCCATTTTAGTTACCTTATTACCTCTCCGTGATAAGAAAGGCTTACCTCAGTGACCTTTTTAATTTCCTCAATAGCTTTCTGGTTTTTTAACCCTTCACTAAGCATTTGCTACTTAGCCTTTTTTTTTTTTTTAAGCCTACTGTTTTTTTTTCAATTTCCAAAATCCTCTTGATTTTTGTTTTCTCTCATTTATTTTCAGATCATGTCACATGGTTGAAATAGTGTACTGAACCATCACATGGATAATGGACAGACATTTTCATTTGTTTTATTTTAATTTAACATCATTCCTCTTCTTATTTATCTACTGTCAAGTTTTCATTAATGGTGCAAATGATATTTGCCTGTTTTACTAAATTCTCTACCTGCGTTTAATAAATTTTGAACTGTGCTATTTACTCATGTGCTAATCTCGTATAGAATTTGAGCAATTATTATTGCAACTATCTGTTAAAAGTTGGAAGCAGATAAAGGTATGGGATTGCATTCTAATTTAAGAACATCCCAAAACAAGACAAAAGATGCTTCTTGTGAATTTGGCAGTGGGACTGCATTCATTTTCACATACATTACTGCCTTTCTCAGGCCAGCCCTTCTGGGGCTCTTCTCCTTTGTCTCCCATGTCATGTATGAAGCAGTTTGCATGTTGATTTGTTCAGTTCCCAGCACTGCCTGGTGACTGAAAGCCCACTTGACGTCATTCTGTGATTTGTGTTATTTCTGATGTTCCTTTTTTTAGCTTTGTGTTTGATAGCCCTTTCCTGTGTGGTATTGCAGACTCTGGGACCCTGGACCTATGGACCAAATTTTCTCTGCTAGTGTACACTTTGGGTCTCTAATATTTACCCTTCATCTATTCCATCTTCTTAATGACTACTTTGATGTCAGTTTTGAGGAGATGTGATCACATTTCCTCATGATATATATTGTCTGTCCTAGAACTGTAGATTACCAAGTGAGGAATGTGTTTCCTGAAACAGCTGTCATCGTACAAGTCTGGAATATCTCCCCCTTTCTATTTAATTTTTCCTGTTTGGTCAGACAAATAAAATAAAGGTTCAAACTTCTCAATCCTTAGGGAATTTTGAAATCTCTGACCTGCTGGGGCGATGCCTTCAGTGAGACTACTGGTTTGAATAAGTGCTGATCATATAACAGTTGCCTGATCCAGATGAGCAATGAGTTGCTGTGTATCTTTTAGGACAGAGAATGCATTCTTTGGTTTCATTTCATTCTTGGTAGCCTTGAGTTGACATATAAATGTGAGAATATTTACCCAAGAATTTGTAATAGAGTTAGAATGAACCTGTGGTTGCAAGTCGTTGACAATGTTTAGGAAACAATCACTGTACTGAAAAAGTAGCGACGCAGCAAGATTAATAGTAATTTATTACCTGCAAAGAATTTACTGTACCGTTTTACTCATGCTGGTTATGTTTTTGCTTTGTTCATCGCCATAACCCATGCTGTTGGCAGGTCCCTAATGAGCACCCTGGGGTCAACCCTCCTCCAAGATGTGTTAGGGCTCCTCTGAGCATGACTAGCATTCTCCTTGCTCATGCATTTCAGAACTGTTTTGCTACGCTGGCTGCAGACTCAAGGAGGAAGCTTGGGTCTGGATGTCTAGTTTCAGCCATTTATTTGCAGCTAGAATGAAAATGAGAAAAAACACAAGTGAGGAAGAAAAATTGGATTTTTAGAGTGCAACTCTAAGGGCGTAGGTCCACATATGTTTGATTTGGCAGCAAAGCCCTTTTAAGAGGTTCCACCTTCTCCCAATCCATCCCTCCCCTGTCAGTTCTGTTGATGCAGCTCTTTGTGGGAATGCAATATAAACCTTTTTGGAGGAAAGGAACGGGTCTTTAATGTGTGAATTGTGTTACAGTCCCTAAAGTGGTTGCATTCAAACAACTGAGGGTGTGAAGTGCAGCACAAGGCTGGGTGTCAAAGGGCAAAGGGAGCCAAGAACTGTAAGTTTGGAAGTTAGAGCCCTGCCATGGGTATGCATTGTGAATCCATCTCTGAATACATGACTTACCAAGTGCTGTTTGCTATCTTCTTAGTGTGGAAAGAACATTTCGGTACAAAGGTTACTCACAGTACTGTACTTCACTCTTTGTTAATAGGCACAGTGATGACACCAAACTACATAGACTCAAATAGTCTCAGTGTTGCTCCATGGTGTGACTGCAGCAACAGTGGTAACGACATAGATGAATGCCTGAAATTTCTGAATTTCTTCCAGGACAATACATGCCTTAGTGAGTACAAAATTAGATGTCTTTAAATATGTTTTAGCATGTTTTCTGGAATTTCTTTACTGTTTAAGTATGTTATGATACATCAAGGCCATCTCTTTGCACTTTGTAAGCATGGTTCTGCTGTAAGTGTAAGAATTAAACAGACCAGCAAATATTCCTGACACTATGGTTTATGGCCAAGATTGCAAACATAAGAAGTTATTGGAAAAAAATTCAAATAACAAAGTTTTATCATATAGAAATATGTTTACATCACAGATCATGTTCGGACCCTCACAGTCAGACAGCATCTGTACCAAAAAATTGCGACACCTGAGGGGCTTCTGTATAATTTAAGAACTTCATATAAAAAAAGACATGTAGTTTATGATATGAAGGATTTGCTGTAGGTAAGTATAAATTGGATTGTGCTTGCAATTTATAGCCAAGCTTCAGGTTTTTTAGGCTACTTGAACTCAGATACCTGGTTTTAACGGGGGTCTGGATGGTACCTATTTTCAAGATTTTGTTAAATTATTGATTTTTTTTTCAGTCAAACTCACTTCCAAATTAGGGACTATTATAAATTTCAGAATGGCTTAGTGGAGTCGATTTTGGCAGGTTCTCTTTTCAAATTTCCTGTCTGCCTGGAGCAGCATAATTGGATGATGTGGAGTGTGCATCAGAGTTTTAATTTCAGATAAATGAGGAGACCAAAAGAGCTTGGCTTCCCTAGCCTAGCAGAACAGAAGTTGAAAGGATACGTGATTGTCCTCTGAAATTGCATTAGAGGGGCAAGCCCAGAGAGGGAAAAGGATTACTTAATCTAGAGGACAATGTTGGCACAAGATCAAAAAGGGAGATATTGGCCATACATATTTAGTCTTGAAATTGGAAAATTTTTAACCATCACATTAAAGTTGAGAAATAGGCTTCTGGCAGGAGTTTTGAGGGCAAAAAATTCTTACTGGTTTTGAAAGTCATATTTCATCAGCTTATGAAAAGAAGCATACATCATTGCTTTTTTCAAAAATGGCGAATGAACTCAATGATCCCATCCAGCCCTATATACTTGAGCTAATGCTAACTCAGGGTTCAGTCTGTATTTTAGTATAGGGTCTGAAAATCTCCATTGGTAGCTTCTCAACAGGCAGCATTATTGTGAAGACATGGGGAGCTTTGCGTACAAAAAGTGAGTGACTTGAGTTGCTATTTGACACATCATTTATTAAGCTTTGGAAGAATGAATCAATTACTCAAGATCATTTAACAAAAAAGCCCAGAAAACAATTCAGACTATGATTGGGTAAAAAATAACACTATAGCATCAGACCTTCTTCAAACCTAATGGGGCTGCCATTTATATATACTGTAATACATCAGATTTTATTCATTTGTGAATGCAATAATTGCTAGAATGTTACAGGTTCCTTTTAGAACATAAAGACAGAGCGATCCCTTGTCCTTTCGTTTGCTATTGGTAGAAAAGCATTAATGAAGACAAATCAAAGACATTAGAGGTTACTGTGAGACAAATTGTAGTCATCCTAGCTGTAAGAGATGTCTTCTTCATGAAGAAATTAAAGATGTTTCTGGTTTAATACAAAGTTTTTTCTCTTACAGAGAGTGGGAAAAGTTCCAATTTTTTTTTTTTTTTTTAATTGTTATTGTCATTAATGGGCCTTCCAGTGCCTGGAGAAAATGCCATGTGTTTATTGGATGAGAGTAAAATCCCTCCCACTTTTTTTAGACAAAACAAAAATTGCTTTTCCACAATGGGATAAAACTAGGAATTTCTTGCTAGTCTGTTTTGCTAGTCTGTTTTTGTTTCCCCTTCAAACTGGAAAATAAACCAGTGATTTTGGGGCATTTACAGAAGATGTGGAAAACTGAGCTGAAATGTTTATTCAAAACTCCATTTGGTTATTTATGCAAAGTAGAATAGCTGAGACTGTATCCTGAGGGCTAGGGGACTCAGAAAGCTGGAGGCTTAGGTTCACATTCATACTGTGCCTGATGTGGAGCTGGGATATGAAGCTGAGTTTACCATGTCCCAGATACACACCTGAAATCCTGGTCTTTCTTGCATCTCTGTATGCACTTGCCTAGAAATTCCACTCTAGAGTTGAAAAGCCTTTTGCAATAGATGTTAAGTTGAAACCAGAGTGGAAATTTTGATTTCAAAAGGTGGGTGTGAAAATACTAGTGAAAATTCCAGTCTGTTTTTATAATTAGTCCCAATAAAGACAGATATTGCATTGTTTTTTTTTTTACATATATTAGAAAAAATGTTTCTTTATCTCAGCATTGTCCTGCAGAATATGGCTTTATATCAGAACTGTGAAATTGGCCCAATGTCAAGAAAGCTAAAAATCCGGATTAATAGGCCCCAAATAAAATATATTCCACCCTAAAATTTGAGGCTGTGTATTACCTTGCTTATATTGTTATCCTCTTTGTTAGAAGATGCAAGTTTATTGGTAATATTACAGTGGTCCTAATTGCTGCCTCTCTAGTTAGGGTTTGGCCAATCTTAAATTCTGGAAATCCATCTTAAGACTTTATTTTAGCTACTCTGAAAGTGAATGTCCTGACATTCATTTACATACTCTAGAATTCCTACTGAACTGAATGGGATTCAGTATATCTATCTATCTGTTCAAAGGATTTGTTCACACTTGCTTTATACTGCAGTAAAAAGAATTGGCAAGTGGGAGGAAAAGCATAAAGAAGTGAGTTAGTTAATAAAAATTATTGAAAGGACCTTTACTAGAGCACTTAGACACTTGAAGCACCTCCTTACAGTCATTATGTTTTTTGAAATGTATTTGAAATATGTATGAAAATTGTATACATAAAATACATATTTTAAATATGATTTATATGTTTGAAATATTATGAAAACATGAGGAGGGATGGAACACTTCTATGAGGAAAGGCTGAGAGAGTTCGGGTTGTTTAGCCTGGAGAAGAGAGGGCTTCGGGGAGACATTCTTGCCGTCTTTCAGTACTTAAAGGGAGCTTATAAGAAAGATGGGGACAGACTTTTTAGTAGGGCCTGTAGTGACAGGACAAGGAGGAATGGTTTTAAACTAGAGGAGGGCAGATTCAGGCTAGATATAAGGAAGGCTTTTTTTACGATGAGGGTGGTGAAACACTGGCACAGGTTGCCCAGAGAGGTGGTAGATGCCCCATCCCTGGGAACATTCAAGGTCAGGCTGGACGGGGCTCTGAGCAACCCGACCTAGTTGAAGATGTCCCTGCCTGCACCAAGGGGGTTGGACTAGATGGCCTTTAAAGGTCCCTTCCAACCCAAACCGTTCTATGATTCTATGATTCTATCATAGAATCATAGAATACCTCAAGTTGGAAGGGACCCATAAGGATCATCGGGTATGATTCTATGAAATAATTAAAGAAGACTAATTGTAAAGACCACTTTTACTTAGAAAACTGGAAGGATTGCGTGTATTTCTGTGATCCTTCTTGCAATAATGGAAACAAAGTTACTGTTAATTTAGGAAATCATAGGAAAATATTGCTTTATATATTGCCTTATTCAGGTAAAACCAAGAAAAACTCATTTCACTCTCCCCACTTTGTCTCCATCAGATTGTGGTGCCTTTTTCAAATTCTCCTCTTTGCATGTTGGAGTTCTAAGAACTAATATCAGAATAAAATACATCTTTTTCGGATGAGAATTAAATGTAAATTCTTTTATCAGGCAAGGAATACCACTGAGAAGAAGTATTAATAACTTCCACATATTAGCCCCCAGTGAAATTTGTTTGATTTCTTGTATAAAGAATTTGAAATAAGAAATCCATAAATCCATGTTGAATCCCCAAAGACCTGAGTAAAAACTGTTTTTCTATTTGTTCATAAAAAAACCCAACCAATTTACTCTTGCCATAAACACACTCCTTAATCCCATGAAACTATGATAAGCTTTTTAACTTCTATATTCTAAAGTTTTAGTTTAAGCATGCTTCCCTCACATAATTATGCAGATTTTGATTGAAAACTGTAAAAAAATTGTCTTAGTTAAACCATTTTGTAGTTATAGGCGTATTAGTTTTACTACAGCAAGCTGTAGAAATAAATTAATATTTTGCCTGCTCCCTCTTTTTAGTTTGCTATGTAACATCACCTGCCTGAACTAGGACATAACATTGAAACTGTATTTTAAATCTTGAAAGTAAATTTTTGAGGCTTTTGGATGGTAACAAGTATGATTACAGTAAGTCCTAGAGCTTCTGTCAAGAATTGCTGGGAACATTACAAAGAAGAGCCTGCACCAGATAATTAAGTGACCCCAGACTCTCAGTTCATGTTTCTGATATGTTCAAAATTAAGACACGTTTTTCAGCATAAAAATTGAGTTTCTATAAATACACATTTTCAATGGAATAATAATAATAATAATAATAATGATTAAAAAGTCAGTTCTGCTTTCTGCCATTTGTTTAGAAATAGAAAATTGTCTGTAATTTATTTTTACAGAAAATGCAATTCAGGCCTTTGGCAATGGTACTGATGTGAATGTGTGGCAGCCAATCTTACCAGTACAGACCACTACAGCTACAACTACAACAGCTTCCAGACTTAAAAACACAGGTTCAGAGACCACCAACAATGAAATACCCACCCACAACGATTCACCAGCATGTGCAAACCTGCAGGTAAGAGAGTCTTGTACTTCTTGCAGTGCATAAATGAAAGTTTTTCATAGATATGTATACAGAGTGGTCTCCTGCTGTGTAAATAGATGTCTGCTTAAATTGGAATATCTGTGCATTCCCATGTTGTAGTTACAAGCTGGATATATTGTAAAATATCAGACACTATTATTTTAAGTCAGAAAAATGCATATTTCAAAGAGGACTTTACTGCCTCTCTGACTCAGAAACAGGGCATAGTATTTGATTTGTTATCACAGGTTTGGATATGAATGTGGCACTCTCCAAACCCTGCCAGGATACGTCAGATTAAATTAATCTCCTGAGTAATCCAAATTCAGAGGGAACTCTTAATGTCAGCTAGCATGTCCTGCTGCCTTCTTTCTTATGTTATTGGCAGTAAACTTAAGAGGTTTTTTTTGGCTGAGTAGGTCTGGATGTTGGAGAATATGTGGTGCTACAAACTTCATGGTGAAAAAGCTGGACAAAGAAGCTGTTTTCAATCGGGCACGTTCCTGAACTAGGGTCAAGGTCGTGATGTGATTTTGGCCAATGGCTGTAGTGATTTTCTTTGTCGCTTCAATTAGGCTATTCACGGTGCATCATTGATTCTGTATTTAAAGAGGCTCATCACTTGCTGAAGGCAGTATATGCAGCCTTAGAAAGTTTGAAGAACTTGGGCAGGAGACAACTGCAAAATCAAGGCACGAAAGAAATGTAAGATGAAAACATCCTTAGGCCAGATTAGAATCTTGGGTTATAAAAGTTTCTGGTAGTTTAAATGCAAAATTAGGTCAGGGATAGATCAGCTTGGCCTGTTTATTTTTGTCTTTACAGAAGGAAAATTGCTATGTGACACAAATGAAGGTGTCCAAGTTTTACAGTCTCATCTGGTATTAAGATACTTTTTTGCTGGATTCCCAAACTCTTCCACACTTGTAGCATTCACATTTCACTTTCTTACAAAAAATTGATTTTGTATTCTTCATATTAAACTGTATCAAAGTTTCCATCTTCACTAAACCACACAGTTCGTATCCTTTGGAAATGTATTTTGCTTCTTAATTTTTCCTGCACTACTCTCTCATCTTCATCCTTTTCTAGTATCTCCGTTTATTTTCTGTTGGCAAATTGCATGTGAATTAACATTTTTCAGAGGCATTACTGAGTCACAAAGTATATAGGGCTGATGGTAGATGGTGCTGAGTTTAGGTCCTTCTGGTTTAATCCTATTTTTCGTATCTGTGCGTTCATTATTAGTTAAGCTTTGTAAGTTATTGATGAGAGGGAGACGGTTGTAAGCATGTATTTCTATATGCAGTGTCATTTGACCAAATAGAATATGCCAAAAGGAAATATAACCTTTTAAACCTGGAACTTGGAATATCTTGCATTTAAAGCAAGACCTTGATGAGATATTATTAATTCACTTCATGTTATATTAAAAGGTTGTTTTATGGGAGAGATCACATTTTCCTTCAGTGTTTGTACAGTCCCCTATAGAGTAAGGCCTCCAGATGCAACCAAAGTACACATGATAAATAATGAACTGAAGAAATGGCAAGCGATCACAAATCCCATTGGATTCAGTTTGATTTGCAAATGTTCCTCAAGCCTAAACAGACGTTCCAGTGTTTTGAAAATAAATGAAATTCTTCCCTGTCCTTACTCCTGTTACTCTGGCATTTGAAGTAACATCCCACATGAGTTTATCAGCGCTGGTTTAAAGCTATGTTATGACTTCAAGTGCACCCCTCGTATACTTGACACAAGAAGAATAGGTCTGTTTAAATAAATGATCTTTTCTATTTTGTAGAAACTATAGATAAGTCTGCACTAAAAGGTCACTGAAGTTATGTGAATCAAGCAGTTTTATTCCTATGAAATACAACATTCTGGTGCTCGCTACTTCCTTGTGTCAGAACTGAAACGTGAAGAACAAAGCTCTCATATTTTAACACATTTTTCAAAAAATAACTTACAAATAGAGTCAAAACAAGCCCACGCTTTTTTAAAAAGAAACCTGTGTTTGTTGGACAGTATGGTGCCACTTTGCATGTGAGACTTAAACCTCAATGCAAATTTTACAAAAGAACTGGAGGCATTCATATCGCACTTGGAGAAGGGTATTCATTCCAAGGCTCTCCTCCCATGAAAAACATGCCTTTGTAGTATTTTCAAAACATGAACAAGTGCGACCAAAAGCAATCTGAAGGGCTTTGTTATATGCTTAGCAGTTAAACTGAAAGGTTTCAGAAAGGCAATATAACCTAAACACTGTGAAAAGTAGAATTAAATGCATTAGTCTCAGCACAGAAAGACAACGGCAGGGTGGGGATAAGGAAATGATCATTGAGATGCTACAAGGCTGCATATCCTAGTTAGTGGGTTTAAAAATACAGTGAAGGAGGAAAGAGCAGGAAGTGATTGATTAGTATAAATTGCCATAGAAATGAACAAATACTAACCTCCTGGGGTTGTAAAATACAGGGCACTAACCCGATCTGCCAAGAATGTCGCCAGCTGAGCAGTTTTTGATACATTTTTTTCTGACTTGTTCAGAATGGTTGTATGAAAAGCAAGAATACACTAATGGTTTTGTCGCTGTGCCATGTTCTCCTGCACACATGCAAACCTGGGAATCGGAAGGGTTGTGAATGCTTAAAGAAAATATCAGATACTCTTTGTTTACCTGTACTCAATATTTATTTTGAATAGCTGTTGAAGGTTTGGACTTCTAAACAATTTTTGTTTCAGTGGTGCTGTTTAGAAATTGTTCTTCAACTTGCCATTGCTACAAGAATTTACAGTTCTCCCATTATGGTGGTATTTTCTTATTTCAAATTGATACAGACAAATGTGGATTTCTGATATATGCTTATTTCATGTTTAATTTTTATTTATTTATTTATTTATTTATTTTAATGTTTATGCTTATTTTATGTTCACATATGCATGGATTTGTGTAATATACTCTTTTTTCTATCCCTAAATTAAATCAGCACTCCATCTTTGCTAGGAAGATGCTTAACTTCATCAAGAATCCTATAAACTCTTTTATAAAGCTGGCTTCTAACAAAGTTTGCTAAACACAGAGAGTAAATAGCGGTTAGTTTTGTATAACATGCTGAATTCAAGTATTTTTTGAGGTTCTTGACATCTTGCAAAGATGTCCTCAGAACCACATAAAAATAATTTATAAAATATTGTAAACAAAAAGGAAGATGAATGCCAACAGTGCTCCTTATACAGTCATATTTTATTAAGTAATTGCCATCCCTATCTTTTTTTCTGATAGCTTCACTCTAACGTTTTCTATTTAACTGACATATTTGTTTATCCTTCATTCTCAATCGTAACTTGTGTACAGTACGCCGGTCAAAAAATGGTTATGGTCTTTCAGTCTCATGTTCTACCACCACTGCTTGAACCGTCAAGTTGGATTATTTGAAAAGGACAAAAGAATGAGTTTGGATGTGTACTCACACCATGTATTCTTCAAGAAAAATGCTGCCTCTGCATTTAGGAGAGATACATGGAACTGAAAGATGATAATGAAATAAACTTCAGGTGATAGATTAGACTAGACTAGACCAATTGTTACTACATCATCATCAGAGATAAATAAAAAACTAAGACTTTCATACTGGGTTTGCTGTAACATTTTAGAAGACATTTTACACAAGACAAAAATGTTAAAAGTCAAGATGGTTAAGGATGTTTAAGTCTAAATTTATGCATTGAAAACTATCAACTCCCTGGTTAGTTCTATACTTTGTTTTCCCACGTTTGTTATAAATACCTTGCTCCAGTTAACCTTAGTTCAGCATTCAGAGGGAATTTAAGGTTTTTGTGCTTTTGAAGAAGTGTGAGTAGTGGATGCGTGTAATTGGGATACATGGCCCTTCAGACTGAAGGCAAGTACTTTTCAGTCAAGTCCAGTATGTGAATTTCTTTGTACTCTCAGAAGCAAAATTAAAAACTTATGAGATAGGAATTAAAAAGTTCCAACATTTTGTGGGGAACAAGGAGGAAAAGAGAAATCTAGATACTTAAATACGTCGATTCTTTCTATTTGCACGTAAGATTAGTGAGTGTTTAGAACAGACGTGGGTCATACTGCAAGCTTCACATAATTCCACATAAACTTGGGACTTTAAAAAATATCTATTATGGCGAGTCTTAGAATAAGAACGGGAGACAGGGCTCATAGTTCTCTGGGGGAACTAGGACTTAAACGTGACTCACAGACTGAAAATGACTGTGCTTTTCCCTTGTAGGTCCATCTGTTGCAGATCTTCAGCACTGTGTGTGAGGATCTGCTAATCTGGTGTTCGAAGTACTGTCTATAATTATTTAAGGTAGCTTCCTGTGTGCTAAATATTATTATTATAAAGCACTGTGTAGGTGTTTGGAGAGGGTTAAAAGCTTTAGCGTAGTGTTTAAGGATCAAGACCCAGCAAGTGTGGAGCTTCATGGACTGATAATTGGGTGGTGGGTGAACATAAGCAGGAAACATGGTCAGCACGTAGGTGTGTTGTTGATGAGGGGATAGTACAACTGCTGAGATAGTACGCTGGAACAGAGACAAAGGGAACTTGATTTATCCCCTGTGCACCAGTATTAGCTCGCCCATATGCCTGGCACCATCTTTTCCCCATCCCTTCACACAGCCTGTGATTGTTCTGTTTCTTTTTCGTTTTGAGAAAAACAAGCACTGTCCTTTCAAATGCACTGCCTGCTCTGTCCCTTGGGAGAAGTTGTACTTGGACCTCTTCCTCCAGGCATTGCAACTACGCAGAAAGTTGTATTCTGGGGAAAAAGATGGACAGGAATATAAAACTCCCAATGCTGTGCCAGAACAAAATAAAAAAAATAGAAAAAAAGAATATTGACTAAATGTTTCAAATGAAAAGATTTAAATTTACGTCCTGTATTTCCAGGATAGCTGACATAATGGGGTCAGCCTGCTAGTACAAGTGATTTAGAGAACACCTATTGGC